GTAATGCCCAAAAAATGAAATGTTTTTGCTGGGTAGGTGGGTTTTGGTTAGTCTGTTTTTCTGTTTTTGGGCGTGTGTTCGTGTATTTTGAATAAATTGTAATAGAAATGCGAGAAAATGTAATAGAAATTGTAAAAGATAAGAGCAAACGCCAAAAAACGGGTGATCCCAGCTGTAGGCATTTTTTGACAATCATCTGATAATGTTTTTACTCAAGCCTACTATACAGTTCAATACGAGCGTGGGCGTGAGCTTTTTATTTTGACCAATATCGTCGTTATTACGAAACATCGATATTTTCGATGCATCGATGTTTTTCCGACATCCCCACTTTGGTTGAAATTCACGCAGGAGTGAATTACAGAATGCGCCCGTATATTCGGCATTGTTTTTTTTTATTTGATTGCTACCTGTGTTTTCATGATATGCTATAAGTTTTCAATGCAGTGCAGGTCTGGGCTGCTACCTGACCAGTATATTTAAGGTCAAAATATTTCTTATTATTCAAGAATGCCCTACTTCAGAATTTGATTAAAGAATACCCTACTTCAGAATTTGCTTGAAGAACGCCCTATCTCAGCATTCAGTTGAAAAACGTCCTATCACAACTGAAAATATATTAAAAATGTGTTGAGATAGGGCGTTTTTGAATCAGCATCTGGGATTGGGTGTTTTTGAATCGAATTCTGGGATTGGGCGTTCTTGACTCAAAATCTGAGATAGGGCGTTCTTCAACCAAACGCTTGAAAAGTTTTCTGAAATAGGGTGTTTTCGAACTGTCTGCCGAGATAGGTAGATCTTTTAAATATCTTATATTTAAGTACGAAGTTTTATACAAATCACGACAAATTTTGTATCGATTTCAAACAGACACGAGCAGAGGTGAGGCGGGCATTTAAGAGCATAAGAACTGTTTGTATTGTAAAACCAGGTGGCCCAGATTGTTAAAAAACGAGCGGTTTTCACTCCGTAAGCAATTATCCAAAGCTCTTCAGAGTCGGATGGAATGGTTCTTAGAAAAGTTATTCCATGTGAAAGTTAAAAGATTAAAATATTCAGTTTCCGCTACTCTTCTTTCCTTCAAAGTCAAATAGGGAATTGGCAGGACCCTAAAACTCGCCCTCTTGTGATTCACACCCTTTTTTGGTGACAAAATCAAAGCTTTTCTTAAAAGTATTTCTTCTGTAAAAGTATCGTGGAAAACTAAGTTTTTTATATTTTTATAATTGGGAGAAATTTATTTGAAGGGAAAAATTTATTTAAAGGGAAAAATCGCCAATGGCGATTTCCTAAATTTTTACGCGCAAATATCAAAAAAAAAACAACGCCAAATTGGTGCGAAATCGCAAAATCTGGACACGCTGTGTAAAACCACCGGGAGCGTGATGAATATAGAGAGATACATTATCATAAATTTAAGGGGTTTGATTGAACAAAATTTTACGTCCATGCGGAGCTCTGTGAAATTGATTCTTAGCTTTGCCAAACCATAGTACATTTGTGGCCAGGAGAGCAGAAGTGGCCTATCCCAGAATTGGGTAGTTAACGTTTTAAAACAGTTTCTAATGTTAAACAATTTTAAAATAAAGGTCACTTATTCTTTAATTTAACTATTTACAGTTATTTCTGTGAGGACGTTAACAAAAAAGTAAACAATTTCAGTCTCGCTACGAATATTTCCCCACTTTTCTGCCGATTTCAAAATAAATTTATCCGTAACTAGAGTTTAAACAGTTTTTCTAATTTGGGACGGTTGCTATGGTTCGCCATTTTTTATTAGGGCTTCATATTTATATTTACCTAATTATTTTTTGCTTCTTAGTATTGCAGAGGAGAAAAAAAAGCTTGGCAATGACCAGTACAAAGCACAGAATTACCAGGCTGCACTTAAGCTCTACTCCGATGCCATTCAATTGTGTCCCGACTTCGCTGCTTACTATGGCAACCGCTCTGCCTGCTACATGATGCTTTCTAACTATATCAATGCATTGAACGACGCCCGTCAGGCTGTGAGATTAGATCCAAAATTCGAGAAGGCATACGTACGCATCGCCAAATGCTGCTTGCTAATGGGTGATATGGTCGGTTGCGAACAGGCTATCAAAAAAGTGTTGGATTTGGACTCGCAAAGTAATGCTGTTAAATCAGAGCAACAGGGATTGCAGCAATTGCGTCAGCTGGAGAAGACGATACAAACAAATTACGATTCCAAGGCTTTTCGCAATGTTGTCTATTACTTGGACAGCGCATTGGCAATAGCACCTGCCTGCCTTAGGTGACATCGTATTATTAATTTATGCCCCTATTACGGTTTATAACTCAACTCCATTTCAGTTGAAAACTTACAATTTGGTATTATCGATAACAACTCAACCTGTAAAAAAATTTTTGGTTGTATTTATATCGTCTTACAACTTTTTTGCGGTATTACCGTTTACCACCCTGTGCTAGTTCGGTTGACAAAAGTATCGAAAATCGACAACTCATTACTAGCAGTTGTTTTGAACAAATTTTTAAGCGAAAATGGAAAGCGGGTAATTAAATTTTTTTAATTTGTCTTAAATCAATATCTTAATCAGGAATTTCTTATAAATTTGTAGAAAAAATAAACTTACAACGAAACAACAGTTTGAAAACCTAGTTGAGCTGATGGAGAAGCATCCCGAAACTGGACGAGGCAAGCCGCAATTTGGAAGCAGCAAAAGTAAAAGCAAGGGATTGTGGGAGCAATTTGCCATAGAGCTAAACAGTTTAGGACCACCAACAAGAACTGCGCACGAGTGGGGACGAGTAAGTAGTAATCATGGAATTAGACCAATACAATGAAAGCGCAATAATTTATTTCTCCTGTAGGTTTGGATACACTATAAGGCAAATTTAAAAAGGAAGCTTGCCAACAATCGCAGCAATATTCTTGCAACTGGTGGTGGTCCGTCGCAAGAAGTTTCTTTAAATCCACTAGAAGAAAGTGTTGCGGAACTTATTCAGATAAAGGAACAAGTTGCACCCAGTGGCCGGGCGTTCGGGGTAGAGAATATACCACCGGTGATGGATGGCGAAGAAATAGAAGACGGCTTAGTTGCAGCTTCGTCAATGGTTGATGAGCTCCAGGTAGCAAGCATTGAAGATCGGCCGTCTTCGTCAGCATCGCGTGTACAAAATCGCCGCAGAAGCTGCAATTTAGAAACTGAGCGTCTAGAGCTCCTAAAAATGCAGGCAGAAACGCAAAAAGAGGTACTAAAAAAAATTGATAGAATTGAAAAGACGGCGTACAAAAATTACGACATTAATAAAAAATTGCTGCACATAAAGCAACAAAAATATAAATTGTTTGAAAGGCAGGCTAGGGAAGCCCATGAACTACATTTGTTGAAGGTAGAGGTTGAGCAATTAAAAATAGCTAAATTAAGAGGCTATTTGCAAGA